CAATCTGCATGACCATACTTCACCACGACCCGCGTGGTGAAGTATGGTCATGCAATCTGCATGACCATACTTCACCACGACCCGCGCGGTGAAGTATGGTCAAGCAATCTGCATGACCATACTTCACCACGACCCGCGTGGTGAAGTATGGTCATGCAATCTGCATGACCAAAACGACTTGCAGTTGATTGGGCAACGAGCTGTGAATTGTGTTCTATAATTTTCTCCAAGCAATGTTGCCGTCTGTTATTTTAATGATTAAAGAAAATACTTCTGGAAGACCTTCATTCATGTGCATACGAGTAATAAAAGCTGAAAAAGGGGTCTGCACGTGTATGTGCTCTGAAGAAGGGCCGTTGCCTGAAACGTCGCCGGTTAAATCATTGACTTTCCTTTTAAGGCAGCGTTGTTGACGAGTGTGTGTTGAGTTTTGTTTTTACAATATATATCACAGGGAGGGGATCCATTGATGTGCAATACATTCCCAAACAAAATTATAATCAGAATCGGATGTTGTGTATTTAGACTGCAGGAGAAACCCGACGAGGTATGTTACAGATGTCCAGTGCAATCCACACTCTTCAGAGTTCAAAAAATAACAACAATGTTGAAATCGTTCTGAACGTGCAGGTATAAGGACGACATTTGGAACGGCTTGCCCATTAATGCCGAGCGCTTTTCTTTTACGTTGGCCAGCTGCCACCAAAAGGCCACTTGGCAGAGCCTATTTAAGCAAATGTTCACCGCTGAGTTTGCGACCAGGGACCCGCCACCATCTGGAGAGACAATCTGAGAACGGGCAGAGGAATTCGACACATTTAACGCAGCACATCTCCATTTTTTTTATATTGTTTTTTAAAGCCCAGCTGCGTGGTATTTAAATACTGTACTCGCGTCTTCATCACAATTACTCTGTTGAAATGCAGTGTATAATACGCCGAGAGTTAATTAAATATCCCCTCCTGAACACTTTCTGGGGCTCGATGTGCCTTATGCCAGATGAGCCGGGTGGAATTCCTCTGGGCTCGGGCACCACAAGACGCTGTCTGGCATTACCACGACGACGATGACGATGGCTGTACCGTGAGCCATACTTATATAATGAACATATATTATTACTTCTCTTTTGTAATAGATGTACAAGCGTGTGCTTTTGGTAATTGAGGGAATTGCTCGGGTAATTTCTTGCATTTTTCATTTGGAGTCTGCTGCGGTTCTTTTTCGTCGAATTACCAATATCGAGGGCGTTATGAGGTTGTCATTACCGTTCACACACACACGCGCGTTTAATGCGTTTTTCAGGGCTTTGTGTGAAAGGTGTTTCTCAAACTGACTGTTGAAGCCATATGTCCCGCTGCACATCGTTACATAAAATGTACACGCCACAATATCCTTGTTTTACGCAAATGTGCAAAATCGATGCGCTGCGATGGTTCCACACACGCACACAGCGCAGTAGTTTGATACGTCCAAGGTTTGTAGGTCCACGTAATTGCCGTCGCCTAACTGCTGGCTGCATTATGAAATCCCTGATTTATTGCGTAGCACAAATATTAGTCGGATGCTGTCGTGGTGTCATGGTTAGCACAGAGGCCTCCTGTTCGATCTCCCAGTAAGCCAGTTGAAGCAATGCAGCAGGTTTGTATGTACGAATGAAGGCCGAACTTCTTTCATACCATACGTAGCGAACCGTTCTAATCGGAGGTGCGGAGGAAGGACAACGAACTAAACACGAACAGCAGTCCTCAAGAAATGCGTTTTTAATCTTGATTTAAACGTACATACATTGAGGGAAAAAAGTATTTGATCCACTGCTGATTTTGTACGTTTGCCCATTGACAAAGAAATTATCAGTCTATAATTTTAATGGTAGGCTTATTTGAACAGTAAGAGACAGAATAACAACAAAATCCAGAAAAACGCATGTCAAAAATGTTATAAATTGATTTGCATTTTAATGAGGGAAATAAGTATTTGACCCCTCTGCAAAACATGACTTAGTACTTGGTGGCAAAACCCTTGTTGGCAATCACAGAGGTCAGACGTTTCTTGTAGTTGGCCACCAGGTTTGCACACATCTCAGGAGGGATTTTGTCCTACTCCTCTTTGCAGATCTTTTCCAAGTCATTAAGGTTTCGAGGCTGGCGTTTGGCAACTCGAACCTTCAGCTCCCTCCACAGATTTTCTATGGGATTAAGGTCTGGAGACTGGCTAGGCCACTCCAGAACCATAATTTGCTTCTTCTTAAGCCACTCCTTTGTTGCCTTGGCCGTATGTTTTGGGTCATTGTCATGCTGGAATACCCATCCACGACCCATTTTCAATGCCCTGGCTGAGGGAAGGAGGTTCTCACCCAAGATTTGACGGTACATGGCCCCGTCCACCGTCCCTTTGATGCGGTGAAGTTGTCCTGTCCCCTTAGCAGAAAAACACCCCCAAAGCATAATGTTTCCACCTCCATGTTTGACGGTAGGGATGGTGTTCTTGGGGTCATAGGCAGCATTCCTCCTCCTCCAAACACGGCGAGTTGAGTTGATGCCAAAGAGCTCCATTTTGGTCTCATTTGACCACAACACTTTCACCCAGTTGTCCTCTGAATCATTCAGATGTTCATTGGCAAGCTTTAGACGGGCATGTATATGTGCTTTCTTGAGCAGGGGGACCTTGCGGGCGCTGCAGGATTTCAGTCCTTCACAGCGTAGTGTGTTAGTAACAGTTTTTTTGGTGACTATGGTCCCAGCTGCCTTGAGATCATTGACAAGATCCTCCCGTGTAGTTCTGGCCTGATTCCTCACCGTTCTCATGATCGTTGCAACTCCACGAGGTGAGATCTTGCATGGAGCCCCAGGCCGAGGGAGATTGACAGTTCTTTTGTGTTTCTTCCATTTGCGAATAATCGCACCAACTGTTGTCACCTTCTCACCAAGGAGCTTGGCGATGGTCTTGTAGCCCATTCCAGCCTTGTGTAGGTCTACAATCTTGTCCCTGACATCCTTGGAGAGCTATTTGGTCTTGGCCATGGTGGAGAGTTTGGATTCTGATTGATTGTTTCTGTGAACAGGTGTCTTTTATACAGGTAACAAAGCTGAGATTAGGTGCACTCCTTTTAAGAGTGTGCTCCTAATCTCAGCTCGTTACTTGTATAAAAGACACCTGGGAGCCAGAAATCTTTCTGATTGAGGGGGTCAAATACTTAGTTCCCTCATTAAAATGCAAATCAATTTATAACATTTTTGACGTGCGTTTTTCTGGATTTTGTTGTTATTCTGTCTCTCACTGTTCAAATACACCTTCCATTAAAATTATAGACTGATAATTTCTTTGTCAGTGGGCAAACGTACAAAATCAGCAGGGGATCAAATACTTTTTTCCCTCACTGTAGGTCCAGTGTCTTCCTGATATCGGAAGGAAGAGCGTTCCAGACGGCCGCAGAAGCGCATCTGAAAGTGCGCGATGCGGTGACCGACTTTGTTCGATGTGCAGCCACAATCCGCTGCGAGGATGGCGAGTTTCTTGAATCCACTCGCCTCTGTCCACCCAGTAGTGTAAATGTGTCCACCACAGCGAGTCAATCGGCAGGTCGTGTGTGGCGGGGTGAAGTGTCGGTACTTCCACCTCTTTCAGAACTTGTGGCCAGTGTGGCAAAGTCGGCTCAACTGTTCTCCCGAGGGGGCTTTCTGTAGCTCCCTCCAGTGGAGGCCCTTCCGCCAGCAGTGGCATGGGCAAGACATTGCAGGGATGTACCTTGACCTCTAGCCCGTGTTTACACGGTGCACAATGGCCCTGAGATGAATTTATCGTAAAATGTTCCCAAGGACAGGTTATTGTAAGGGGTTGAATGGAATTCCACGTTTACACAAAGGAACATATCTGAGTCTCAAGGCTTATTTTCAAACGGGTTCTTTCGGACGTTTTGACATTTCAAGAGATTAAAAAAACAAGACAATGTCTGTCTCAAGCTCATTGCCAGCGGGTGGCCTTGATCCATTGGTAGACGTTCCACATTCATATGGTGGGGACCTGCCCTTCCATAGCACAAGCACTTTTGGTTTGCCGCATAGTGGCAGGGCACTCATTTGATCATTGTGTTGTGACAATCGTTTCTGAGGAACAACAGGACAAAAACATGGTGAAGATTACATTTATTCCGTCAACCTAATACCCCCAACTCCATTTGTCAGTGAGGGCCGTTGTAGAGCTAGTGTGTTGGTTGGTTACCGTGTCGTTGAATGTTTTTATCGAGTACCATTATCTGGGCAAGTCGTCGGTAGTTAGCATTGTATCAAAGACTCACCCCCCGCCATAGTAATGTGGAATTTCAATCACCGTCCCAAGCCTATAAACAGATGAACATCGACTTCACGCTTATTGGAGCAAGACATCACTTTGACTTTACATTTCCTTCAACATTTTTTACTGAATTAACAGGGCCTCACATGCCTGCACTGTCCCCCCACTTATTGACCCAGACTAGTAACACCGTCGTGATAATTTTTATTACGTTTTATTTTTATTCTTTTATTATTTCCCTTCTACGTGACTTTACGGAAAGAACCAAGAATATAGTAACACTGTGTTAATGATCTAAATTACTTAACGTTAAATGCCCATAGCGTTCTTCCGTGTAGGAGGGATATATACTCATTACTCAATAAGGGTAACATGGGGTTCGTGGAATCTTTCATATTACCAAAATGCCAAAAATAAATATTGTTATTAAATACTCTGCTGAAACAACATATGCAAATAAGATACCGGAAACTTGCACTGGAATATTACACTTCTTCATAACAATTATTTAGACTTGCGCATTCACATACAGCGAAGTTACAACATTAAAAATCATAAAAAAAAAAGAAAACCCCACCCCTCCACACATAATTGTGCCCGGAACCATTGTTCGTATTGATTTAATTCCGGTACGGGTTTCACACGGACACAAGTGCGTGTCAACACGTCACCGCCGTTGGCTCCACGTGCTTTCCGCGTGGTCTCTGAAGGGGCACTCGATGCGTTCGCGCGGCACCAGCAGTTCCTACTCACGCTACAACAACAATAACAACAACAACCATGCAATAACACAACATTGCTACGGCATTAACAATGCATTCGTAAATGCACGTGCAGCAGCAGCACGGCGTTGTGTGGATGCAGTGGCATTACACTCGGATGGTCAACGCGAATGCTTGATGCTCAAGTGGGAGATCGCAAACTCTAGCGAGTTTGCGGCGACTGTCCGCTGCTTCTTCGTGTTGTCGTACGGGCGCTGATGCAGATCAACGGCGACACCTTCACATTCAGGTGGTCAAGGAAGCAGACGGCCGCGTCAGGAACAAGCGGAGGTAGTAGCGTTATCGCTGTGACGTCTCCTCCGTAGTTTGTGGATGGGGGCACTGGCTTCGTTTGGCAAGTTGCACGGTCTCTTGCTCTGGATAGGGCGACCGTGATAACGCAGAACAGAAGAACCGCGTGACGTCTCAATGCCCTCCTGATACAATTAAATGGCTCGTATGTTGTGGGTAAATGTTGTGTGGTTTGCTCTTACAACACACCGATGTGCTGGACTGGTAACGAATTGACACGTTTTGTTTACGTGACGAACCTCACTAATTGGCTGTGTCGGGTGGTGGCGGGTTTAACAAATAAATGAAGTAACACGTGAAATGACAGCCACGAAGCGAGTGGGAATCGGAGATAAAAAAACAACTGCTGTGTCCATGAGAAATCGAAACAAATTGCACGAACGTGAATCACTGTTAAATTATAAATTCTATGCAGTTTTAAAAAAACCGACGCATTTATATTTACGCGATTTCACCCGAAAACCTCTATTGTGGACCTCAATTTAAAATCATAGCTGTTGCTCGTCATCATCATCATCATCCACACGAAGAAGCTATATCTTTAGATGCACACTGATACCCATAGACTCGCACTGATACCCATAGACTCGCACTGATACCCATAGACTCGCACTGACACCCATAGACTCACACTGACACCCATAGACTCACACTGATACCCATAGACTCACACTGATACCCATAGATTCGCACTGATACCCATAGACTCACACTGATACCCATAGACTCGCACTGATACCCATAGACTCGCACTGATACCCATAGATTCGCACTGATACCCATAGACTCGCACTGATACCCATAGACTCACACTGATACCCATAGACTCGCACTGAAACCCATAGACTCGCACTGATACCCATAGACTCACACTGATACCCATAGACTCACACTGATACCCATAGACTCACACTGATAGCCATAGACTCACACTGATACCCATAGACTCTCACTGATACCCATAGATTCGCACTGATACCCATAGACTCGCACTGATACCCATAGACTCGCACTGATACCCATAGACTCGCACTGAAACCCATAGACTCGCACTGATACCCATAGACTCACACTGATACCCATAGACTCGCACTGATACCCATAGACTCGCACTGATACCCATAGACTCGCACTGATACCCATAGACTCACACTGATACCCATAGACTCGCACTGATACCCATAGACTCACACTGATACCCATAGACTCGCACTGATACCCATAGACTCGCACTGATACCCATAGACTCGCACTGATACCCATAGACTCACACTGATACCCATAGACTCGCACTGATACCCATAGACTCGCACTGATACCCATAGACTCGCACTGATACCCATAGACTCACACTGATACCCATAGACTCGCACTGAAACCCATAGACTCGCACTGATACCCATAGACTCGCACTGATACCCATAGACTCACACTGATACCCATAGACTCGCACTGAAACCCATAGACTCGCACTGATACCCATAGACTCGCACTGATACCCATAGACTCACACTGATACCCATAGACTCACACTGATACCCATAGACTCACACTGATACCCATAGACTCGCACTGAAACCCATAGACTCGCACTGATACCCATAGACTCGCACTGATACCCATAGACTCACACTGATACCCATAGACTCGCACTGATACCCATAGACTCGCACTGATACCCATAGACTCGCACTGATACCCATAGACTCACACTGATACCCATAGACTCGCACTGATACCCATAGACTCGCACTGATACCCATAGACTCGCACTGATACCCATAGACTCGCACTGATACCCCTAGACTCACACTGATACCCATAGACTCGCACTGATACCCATAGACTCGCACTGATACCCATAGACTCGCACTTATACCCATAGACTCGCACTGATACCCATAGACTCGCACTGATACCCATAGACTCACACTGATACCCATAGACTCGCACTGATACCCATAGACTCGCACTGATACCCATAGACTCGCACTGATACCCATAGACTCGCACTGATACCCATAGACTCGCACTGATACCCATAGACTCACATTGATACCCATAGACTCACACTGATACCCATAGACTCGCACTGAAACCCATAGACTCGCACTGATACCCATAGACTCGCACTGATACCCATAGACTCACACTGATACCCATAGACTCACACTGATACCCATAGACTCGCACTGAAACCCATAGACTCGCACTGATACCCATAGACTCGCACTGATACCCATAGACTCGCATACAGAGAGACCCACGGGCTCGCACTGATACCCATAGACTCGCACTGATACCCATAGACTCGCACTGATACCCATAGACTCACATTGATACCCATAGACTCACACTGATACCCATAGACTCGCACTGATACCCATAGACTCGCACTGATACCCATAGACTCGCACTGATACCCATAGACTCGCACTGATACCCATAGACTCACACTGATACCCATAGACTCGCACTGATACCCATAGACTCACACTGATACCCATAGACTCGCACTGATACCCATAGACTCGCATACAGAGAGACCCACGGGCTCGCACTGCGGAACTTATACGAAAGGATGCATCACAGGGATACCCTTCGCTCCTCCTGCGGCAATTACCTGGCTCATTAATCACCGCAACGTCAGGTTACATAAGCTATTGCTGCTGCACGTCGACCTCGGGCCCCATACGAAGACGTGCACAGTAATACGCACATTGCGTTGCAATAATATTACATTCACACAATTTTTATGCATTGGGTACAGCGGGAACATTTCATTAGTCATGAAATGCGGAGTGCGATATCATTGCATTCATGCAAGATACAGTGCTGCTGTCCGTTAGAAGTGATGCATCAGAACTATAGTAACTAGTGCAGTGATATACTGCATTAACATTACTTTGACAATGGAATGTGCAGTACAATCGTATTGCATTATTTGTACCCTGAAAACGATTGTTAAGGGCGCTTTATGAATGTAATAAATTGTTATTATAATCGGTCGTGGGCGGCACTGCACGCCGTTACCAACCCGCGCAGTGAAGTATGGTCGAACCAACCCCCACGACCAGACCCAGTTGCCTGGGAGGGCTTTCATCCAGCAGTGGATTGAGGAAAACCAAGAAAAACAATCGCGGCAGCATTGACGGTCCCACTCGTTCCCATAAAAGTTTGTCTCTCGTCGAATCATCTCCGGCTCATTTCTATGTCACACGTCTCTTTCGCTGTGTCGAGGGCATTATCCTCGTTATACTGGTAGGAACCTCCTGGTTACACCACCAGCCCACAGGGGATTATTGTGTCTGTCCGTCGTGCATCCAAAAATAGGAGGGGTGGGGCTATGTGGAAAGGGGAGGGTGGGGAGGGGCTGGGTGGGGAAGGTGGGGAGGGGCTGGGTGGAGAGGGGAGGGTGGGGAGGGGCTGGGTGGGGAAGGTGGGGAGGGGCTGGGTGGGGAGGGGCTGGGTGGGGAAGGTGGGGAGGGGCTGGGTGGGGAGGGGCTGGGTGGGCTGGGTGGGGGGTGGGAGGGGTGGAGCTGGGTGGGGAGGGGCTGGTCACCCCGTGGTGTCCTTATAAAACTCAACGTTTAACCTACTCACGCCGGCTTGTGCCCGTCCTCACAGTCGGGCATATTTGCGGAATACACCACGCCGCCGTTGACCCTGGCCATTGACCGAGCAACCCAACATTACTGCCAGCTCCCTCCGCAGGAATGTGTTTGGATGCTGCTGTGGTGTTAATGGTTGACACATTGTACTTGCAGTGCCGAAGTGGTTGGTTGTTGAGGATGGTGCGAATTTCTTAAATCGCCCCCCCCAGCTCTGGTCCACTCTGTAGTATTATTAATGGGTAACACCACAGTTGGATCAGCATGTCGTGTTTGATGGGGGGAGGGGGAAAGCGGGGGTTACCCCCCCACCAAACCCCCAACGTCTTCCAAGACGTCTGGCCAGCGTTGAAGAGGAGACCAAGGACCCCCAAAGAAGGGCACTCGAGATGTCCCTCCAGCAGAGGCACTTCTGTCGGCATGTTGAGCGAGAACGCAATGGCAGGGTTGCACCTTTTAAACGAAGTGCATCATGGTGCTAAACTCGTACCGTTTGTCTTCCCTTCTAGGGAATTCGCACGGGACAAAATCAAACAAAACACCCCTCCCCAGTGACCGCGGCGGGGCTCTGCGATGTCCATCGTCGCCGAGAGTGAATTCGGCTGGCTGCTGGATCACCTCGCCCACGTGAATTCGGCAGCGGAGAGCACGGCGGAGGCGGACAGCCCGGCTTCGGGGTTGCGGTTCAACGCGGAGTACTTTCACCAGCCGCGCCCGCACATCGCTGCCGGGGCCAGTGCGGAGACTGTGGCGTGCGGCGAGAGGCAGCTGGAGGACGGAGGAGATGGCGCCATCGCGCTGCTGGGCAGTACCGTTAAGGTAGAATTCCAAGTCGGCGGAAAGATTGTGGCCCAATGGCAGCACCAAGTTCAGAAGCTGGATGTAATGACGTGGGAACAAGCCTTCACGGTCATAGGGGATGTCCGCCATACCTTGTTTTGATCACTTTATGTTGTTGTTTGTGATTTTTGTTTTGGTGCCATTTCTTAATTTGTTTATTCATTTTTTATTTTGCTTTGGTAGCCGTTGGGGTTTTCATTTGCTCGGTATGTGTGTGTGTTGGGCTTCTTTCGCGCCATACGTAGCCAACCACGTATATGGGGATTTGGTCCTTATATATAATTCATGTACAGCGTTTTGTGATGCTGCTGGCATGAATGACGCTATATAAAATGTATTATACTACAAATAACTCATTGATAAAATACTACATTTTAATTGGCATCTAAGACGTTTACTTGAAACTCAATAATGTAGCTTGGTATTTATAACTTAATAACAAAAAATGCATGACTACGGTTTAATCCTCACTTGTCATCGTCATCTATACGTAGAGATTGACGGCTGAGGCTCAGTGGATATGGATGTCTGGAATGATTTACTGAAGGGCTTGAAGCATGTATTTTGTTTATCTATAAAATATACGTTATTCCACATTCTTCAGTTTATTTACAGAAGAATGACAACACTAATGACGGGTGAGATCTAGGTAATGGCTGATTGAACTAACCCATTTGCTCTGCAGTTTAGATTAATTGATCACTTATGTATGGATGTCTAACTTTTTTTGCACCGTACGTAGCCAACCGTGCTAATCGGAGGTGCCAATGATCATGTGATGCTGCACCACTTGAGAGGGAAGGTCGTGGTGGTTTTATTTTGGCTAGACTAAGCCCCATCACATGAATGTGGAATTTCTACGACTGGGTTAGTATTGGCGCTACACTATGAGCACCACGCAATACTCTTTGAGTATTTTGCCGGTCAGATGTTATGATATTTGTTGTGTTGCTGAATTGTCCTCGCGTTCACACGTGGAATGCAATCCTCTCACGTGAAAATATTTTTTGCAAGATTACATTCCATGTACCGTGATGAGGAATGCTGCCATGGGGTAATGATTAGCATACTGGTCTAGTTATCCAGAGTTAACTGGTTTGACGAGGTTATTAAATCCCCCTCTGCCTCCCTCCACCCAACAGTATAAATGGTAACACCACAGTCATTTGGCAAGGTGTGGTGGGGTAACGTGTGGCCAAATACCTCCTATAGTCGGCTCTCTAATGCTCCCTCTCGTGGAAGATCTTCCGCAAGCAGTGGCGTGAGCGAGCAAATTGCAGGGCTGCACCTTTACCGATTTGAATATTTGATGTTGTTTTTGCTTTGTAGTGTCACGATCTCGACTGATTGATTAACGAGCCAAAGGAATATAAAAAAACGTAATTGAAAGTCGCTTTTTTCTCTCTTGTTTTTTGCAGAGAAAGCGCAAAAGAAAAAGGAACGACATGAATCAGGGGGAGATTGATGCCTTGGCTTACCACCAAACGGTAAGTTGTGTTTAACGGTAACATTCGGCGACAGCGACTGAATTTGCAAAATACATTTTAAGGGAAACGTGATGAGACGCTATACGAAGTGAATTTGTAGAGTGCGTCGCTGTGTGAAATTTAGAAAATTAATTTTTTGGATTGTATAAAACGCACCGCACGTTCGTGATTAAACAAGTAAAAGAACGCATTATCCCCCTTACTCATGCGGTGGCCTTGCCCGCAATGTGTGAAGGCGTATCTCTCGGCAACTGCACGCTCACGCCACTGCTGGCAGAAGGGCCTCCACGGGAGTGAGCTAGAAAGAGTCCCTCCGGTGGGTACAGGTAGTCCTCGACTTACGATGGAGATGCGTTACGACGACCCCATCGTAAGTCAAAAATATCATAAGTCGAAGATGGCCTAGCCTACCCAGGATTCTTAAGAATGGTGATAATTTAGCAAAACAGAGCGATTTACAGTACCGTACTGTATCAACTATATACTGAATGTATTTATTAATTACAATACTGTATTGCACGGTAGAATGTAAAGTAAAAAAAACCAAGGTAAATTCTTAGCCTACCTATATGAACTGCAATTTAATATAAAGTTTTTTCAGGAAACAATCCTATCTGCTATAAAAACTTTTAACATACATTGAACGTATCGTATCGTGGTAACTCTAAAATGAAATCCCAATGTACAGTATCGTACCTCGTACCCTGCTGCGTTTGCCTGCCACGCAAAATTTAAAATATCTTACAATTTTGTTGTATCGCCGTCATAAGATCGAAATATCGTAAGTCGGACCATCGTAACTCAGGGACTATCTGTATTTGGTCTATACTTCAATGCTGTCCAGACATATTGGAAACAGCGGGAGTACCCACGCTTTACCCCACCACACACATGACCGACCAATAGCCTGTGCCTTACCCATTTATACGACTGGGTGCTCAGAGACGGTGGGCGGATTTAAGAAACTTGCCACGACACCCCCGGGAGATTGAACCGCCATTCTCTGTATTGCGAGTCCAGTGTGCGAACCCCAAAAAAACACAAAAGTGTATTTCAAAAAATCTGCGTTTGGCTTCAGATCAGAGATTTTGTGCTGGAGGGCTCGAGGAATCTCGTAGACCTGGGACGTCAACGGAATCTCCTCCTGCCTGGCACTCTCATTCCGGGCCCTGTCGAGCCGTCATCACCACGGCGACATTGTCCCGGCACGGACTACGTCCCCGCTGGGGAACACGAACCGCGACGCGGCACCCAGGGCAACCACAGCAGCCGGGCTCCCGCCGCCGAGACGCCCAACGTGAAAGAATCGGGAGGTGCAGCGGCACCGGCGAGCCGTGCCGGGTGTCGCGACGTCTGCTGCCGCGCCTGTCGCGACGTGGCTGTCGACGCGGAACCGGATCCGCTGGCGGAACTGTGCGACGCCGACGCCGCCGATGCCGTGGGAAGGGGGCGTCTGCCGGAGCGAGCGAGCGACGTACTGGTGCTGGAGGACGCGGGAGCAGGGACGACAGAGCTGACGGCCAAGACGGCAGTGGGCCGCGTGGTGGAAAACCGGCGGCGGGGGCCGAGCGTCGTGGATTTTAACGGACACGAATACGTGCTGCCACCCAGGTGCAGCTTCCTCCTGTCTGACGTCGCGCGACTCGAACCGCTGCTGCAGTGTAAGACGTCTCGTGCCGGCTTGACTTGTCTCACGGGGACGGACCGTGGTGGTTTTGGTGGGGGGGTGGGCGGGGGGGGTGGTGCAGAATTGCAGTGTTCAGATGGCAGCGATCAGCTGGGTATCCGCAAATGAAAATATCTCAGATTGGCATGCACTGTCAAGTATTCAATAATGGGCAGGTAACAGATGCATCCAGTGTTGTAGATTTTAGGCTTCATGGATGAGAATTGTACAACATTAAGATAATATCTACTTTTAATACTACTCGTCTTAGTGCGGAACCGGCGCGTATTATTCCGCGCAATGTGCAGCGTTCACCCCGTATGCACGAAAGTGGTGATCTTGTATGAACAGGTGACCTTGAGAACAATTAACATCTCGGACACCCATAGCGTAAAGAGAGCATGTAAGATTGGCAGTCTACCAGCATTGTTTGAAGCGAGCCTGACTGCTGATGTGGCACTGAATGTCGAAACCGGTTGAGTTCACTTGTGTTGAAATCAATGCTGCTGAAATTATGCGTGCAGATGAGTCGCTTAAGAAATACTTTAATCTTTTGTACGTGAAGAGATTAATATGTGCAGGAGACGTATGGCCTGCTTTATTAATTTTGTCATAAATAACATCGGGGCGGCCTACATCAAACGCCAGCGGCAGCTGGCAACGCGGCACAAATTGAGCCGCTCCACTCAGCTCCCGACGAAGCTCGCAACAGGACGTGGATGCGAATCGTCGGGTCAACGTGTCGGACATCACGTGGGTACAAACCCGCAGGCACATGGGGAGCGATTCAGGTTTACCGGGGCCGCTCCCAAGCCGAGCGGGCTGAGTAATGCTGAGTAAATAAGAATGTGTCACGGATCGCAGACGCACTTTCCCCCGTCTTCTCACCAGGGGAGGGTTTGCAAACTTGGCTTGCGAACGTTTGCCAGGCGGCTCCTCGGTGGATTTCTATTTTTGGTCTCGCAAAGTAGCTCGTGTTTGATCTCGATGTAGCTTCATCGCAGCCCTTCCGGAGTAAGTGTCGCATGCCGTGGGCGCCCTCGGAGTCCTCAGGCATTGCCACACGCGCACACGCGCACACGCGCACACGCGCACACGCGCACACACGCACACACGCACACACGCGCACACACGCACACGCACACACGCACACGCGCGCACATGCGCGCACACACGCACACACGCGCACACACGCACGGATGTCAAGAGCCATGCGCGGTGTGAGCTCACGCTATAAGTTTTCCATAAGAGGTATTTTTGGGTTAGATCGCGTAAATATATAAATGTGTCATTTAAACCCGCCACCATCCGACACAGCCAACTAGTAAGGGTTGTCACGTAAACAGAACGTGCCAATTCGTCACTAGTATAGCACACCGGTGTGTTGGAGAGCCAAGCCACAACATGTACAATCTGAGTACGACGTTTCGCCAGTAATTACAACTCGCTTGATTGGGCGACAGCCAGATTTGTGGAGAAGTTTACCTGTTTCGTTCCTTATATAGAGGTGTAGATGTGGTGACCATGCTTCTGCGCTCTTGTGCAAAGTGGGGGGGGGGTGGGGATTAATGAGCCAAAATGCGTTGTGCATGCGCATTATGCGAGCCCTTTGATCTTCTCCTTTCTGTCCATTGTGTGTATTAAAACAGCCTACCAACGGTAATCCCTTTTGAAGTATGTTGCCCTGTATAGGCATGCATTTAAACAATGTACTATCCGAACGGTTAAAATAATTTTGCATTTCTTTCCATTTTGATAGATTATCTAATTAGTCTTGGCCAGTAGGAGCTAGTTTTGCACATAACTTCCACATTATCAAAATCAATTGAGTGTCCTTGTTGGCACTCGTGTTCTGCTACTGCTGACAGTTGCATTTGGGAGTTTTTAATATTTCTCTGATGTTCTTTTAGTCTCGTGCTGATCATTCGTCCTGTTTGCCCAACATAACGCCACACGTGCAGTTAATCCTGTACACACCTTCTGTTGATAGCTTCGGTAATACATCTTTTGTACCAGATATTAAATTCTGTATTTTATATACCGTGGAAAATCTGACTCGGATGTTTTGTTTTTCCAAACATCTGGCTCGTTTATCAGTTACTCCCGCATAATGCGCATGCATAATGTACGTTGGCTTATTAATCCCCCCCCAACCCACTTTGCACAAGAGCGTAGAAGCGTGGTCATCACATCTACGCCTCTATATAAGGAACGAAACAGTAAGACTTCTCCACAAATCTGGCTGTCGCCTGATGAAGCTAGTTATAGTTACTGGCGAAACGTCATACACAGATTGTAAATGTTGTGGCTTGTCTCTCCAACACACCGGCGTGCTGTACTAGTACACTACACTATACACCACACTATACACGACACTATACACTACACTACTATACACTACACTGTACACTACACAATAGTGCTGTACTAATGACGAATTGGCATCTTCTGTTTACGTGACAACCCATACTAGTTGGCTGTGTCAGGTTTTAATGACACATTTATATATTTACGTAATCTAACCCAAAAAAACCCTCTTATGGATGACATTGGTCGCGAAGGCCTACGTGTTAGGCTATCTATTTTGCCGGTTCGTCGGTCTCGCACACGGGCGGAGAGAATTGGCGCGCATTGAAGGCCGACGCGAATGGGGCCGTGGTTCGGGACTTTCGGTTGAAGTGCGTTGCAGAGTCCGCGATCCATTCAACGGTGAATTGAAAAACGGCAGCGTATAGGTAGTATGTAGCCATATTGTTTTTTTATTGTTAGATAACAAGACGCTGGTCTTTAAATCTCTCCATGGCCTTGCCCCACCTCATCTTACCTCTGATCTCCTTCCGTGTTCTCTCTCGTCCTCTTCATTCCAAATCTCCTCTCTGTCCATTGTCACTGTGCTCAATCCTGGTTTGGGTTCATCCCCCTCCTTGCTCCCCTCCACTGGAATCAACTTTCCCCAGTAGATGAAGCAGTCTCCGTCCTTCACTGCATTCCGTTCCTCTCCTCTAAAGCCTCACCACTTCTCTCTTTCCCCACTCTCTTCCTCTTCCCTACCCTTCGCCCCTCCGCTCGATTTCGTCCCTCCCCTACCCTGCCATGATACCCATGTATTACACCCCTCTAACGCTATCACTCATCTCTCAACCCTTTGCACGTCATCTAAATAATTCCGTTCTGTCACAATAAACAAAAAAGATGTCAAGCGCCTTGAGTGAAGGGCGCTCCATAAATACAAAAGAAAAGAATTTGCATTCGAACGCAGAATTGATTATTATGACGATCGCTGAGCACGGGCGCGAAACGCCAAACGGCCAGAGCGGCACTATCAAATAGGACCGGTGAATAAAAGCGCGCCGTATTGTACGTTCCTTTTGGCAGTCAAAAGACACCCCGTGCCGAGTAAGCGCGATCAATCCGCGTGGGGTGGGTGACGACGACTGCTGTGGGTGATGCCGTGTGTGGGCCGTGCACCCGTACGTATGCACGTGTAGTGAGTCCGACTGAGTCACAGACGTTCCTTTGAGAGGCAACACATTTATTTGTAACACATAACACAAAAGGGTAACTGCCCCTTCACCAGATACAGCCTAGGGTGGTGACCACCCAGCTAACTACCCTATACAGAGGAGTTACTGCTACGAAGGGTCGGACCCTCACTCGGGTCCCGACCACGTGGTTGCCTCGTAGGACGAAGAGCCTCAGCCTGAGAAGTAGAGCTTCCCGCTCGTAGGCGTTGAGCTTCCAGCTTGTAGACGTAGAGCTTCCCGCTTGTAGAATGCAGCGACCCCAGTCCCTCTCAGGAACCCGCCTTATATTCCCCTACGGTCGGGGCCGCTCCGCCCTCGGCCCCGCCCCCTTCTCGAACATTCTCGTTCTCTCTCGATCCCTCTCGAGAGCTCTCACTGGACACGTGATCACCCCCTAGTCCCCCCACCTGGGGGCCTCTCTGTGGACATTCCAGATCACGTGTCTATGGGGTCAACCAGAGTGCCATAGCCCAGGGCAACCCTGGCCTTGGGCTGACACTCTCCCGCTCCCCCTCTTGGGAGCCCGCACTACACGCTATGCTTGGTGCCGCTATCCCAGCGCACGCCAAGCCCCGCTAGGGTTGGTACTACACCTGCCTACAGGGTGTACGGAATGACGGTGCATCGCGTGCAATGGCCCTCTCAGGCCGGCACCATACAGTGACATCCCCGATGTCACTACGCACGCACGCAGGTATGTGCCGTTGACCCAGTGCTTTTCCCCTCGTGTGCTCCGTTGCGCTCAGATGGGACGTTCGATTTGATCGTTTTGGACCCGCCCTGGGAAAACAAGTCTGTCAAGAGGAGCAAAAGGTGTGCGAGCACGCGTATGCCATCTCCGTAAACGTTCGTGTATACTTGAGGAGCGGTGGCACGGACGAAAGCCAACTAAACTGGGACTGGCTGCAGTGTGGAGTTCCAGCTAATGACAAATCAGCATTGCATTGCGGGCCGTTTCAAGTTTTTAACTTTTTGTGGAGTGCGATTTTCAGTTTGCCTTTCGACTTGAATAATTTGAAGGTTGTCACCAAGAAAAAGAAAATGCCGCTCCCCCACCCCGCAAACCACGCGTCGTTGGCAGAATGCAGAACGTCCACTCGCGCTGCTGCTGCTGCGATGACAAAACCGCGTCGCCGCGTTCCCACAGGTACCGCGCGCTGCCAGAGTGGCAGATCGCGCGTCTGCCGGTGCCGGCGTTGGCATCTCCAGGCTGCCTCGTCCTCACCTGGGTCACCAACCGCCAGAGGCTCCTGCAGTTCGTCAAGCGGGAGCTGTACCCGTCGTGGCGCGTGAGCGACGCCGTGGAGTGGCACTGGGTCAAGGTGAGCGGCGGACTCGACGATGGTGGACGGTGGTTACCGAGCCTACGTCAGAATGTTGTGTTTCTTACTGGAGGAATCCGGAGAGTTGTGAAGTTTTTTTTTTTTCACAGATGTCCGGTAAGGGGCGGGTCAGCAATTTACAACAACAATACGAAAAACGATAGGAGTGCAAATTAGAGAAAATGTAAGTCGCCAAAAAAATAATTAAGTACAAATTGCACAAGTACATGAATTCCTGCAGATTTTTCAACACTAAATGCAACCTTTGGTAAGACAACAATGCAGCAAATATAGTCCCAGACCACACCGAGACAACACACAGTCAATAGCAATGGCTTGTCACGTGTGGGAATTTATATTCGCAGCCAAATACTCTGAACTCGTGTTTCTAAATGTGGAGGGAAAAACCGGAGGACCCGGAGAAAAATCCACGCGACCACGGGTAGTGAGAGACACGCAAGCTCCAAATACACAGCAGGCGACGGGGTCGGGATCGAACCCACGACCTGCATACCAGGCGAGAGAGACAACATCTAGTTAGCACAGTGCATGCTGGGTGGCCGGGCCTTGCCAGCTGCGGTCCCGGTGCGCTCCGAGTCTCCGTAGCTGACCTGCCCATGCTGGACATCCGTGAAAAGAGCTTCACAGCTCATCTGATTCCTCCTGCAGTCTCAGTAATGATTCTGGTTTTGGCTCCGGAGGGAATGCCGAACTCACTACCTCCCCCCCATTGCTTTTACTTACGTGCATTGTTGTATCTTTCTGTGTTTGACCCACTTTTGTCTTTGAGAAATTGGTTTAACACGTAGGCTTTCACAACTCTGGCTGTCGCCTGATGAGCCTCGTCGTTATTACCAGTGCAGCGTCGAAGAATTGTAAATGTTGTGGGCTTGCTCTCCGACACCGGTGTGCTGAACTAGTGACGAATCGGCAAGTTTTGTTTACGCGACAGACCTCAGTAATTGCCCGTGTGGCGGGTTTAACGACACATTTATGTTTACGAGATCTAACCTAAAAACAACCTCTGATACCCCCATTTAGTGAGGGTGCTGATATTACATTCGAAATAAAACCTTGAAACCTTTTCAAATGATAATGTAAAAAAATTAAGAAAATCTAAAAACCCACGCGGAGAGCGCTAACGTGAGCCCCCCCCCCCGTTTCGCTGCCGTTGACGTCGCCGCTGCCCGCGGGACGCATTGGGTCGCTCGACGCGCGTAGGTGACGAGCCACGGGGAGTTCGTCTTCCCGCTGGACTCGCCGCACAAGAAGCCGTACGAGACGCTGGTGCTGGGACGCGTTGCAGCGACGCCAGACGTGGAGCGGTACTTGCAAACCCACAGAAACCCGTGTGAAATTACCGACGTAAGAGTTATTAGAAAAAAATATGAAAACATTTTGTTTATTAAAACTCAACGCGAGCCCGCTACAAAGCGACGATCACCGAGCGGAGGGGGGGATGAAAAGTTCAGCGACATGCAGCCCGAGTTCGGCACGGCAAGGAGGGCCCCGATGAAAGGGGTTCAAACTGGGTTCACCGACGGAAGGTTCCCAGAAGAGTACGATCTTAACGAATTGTTTTCACAGCGCTGGTGATGTCGGTTTTGCAATTGGACGATTCACAATAAAGCTGCTCAAATTGCAAAAATGTCTTAATAGACGATACTACTTGACATAAAGCTTTCGTGACTGCAGGAATTCATATTCTTTGGGTCTTTCGGTAAAGTCACATAGATAGGTTCAAATAAAATAACGAAAAATAACAAAAAAACAACGACGTTTCGATTGCAACACAAGCGTTCGTCATCAGGAAGAAAAAAAACTCTTGTGTTTCGATCGAAACGTCGTAATATCGCAAGTGAGTAAGTAATCAGAAACGTTCTGGACAATCGCTATTGCCCAGAATGTTGCCTTTTGTAGATGTCGGGCAATGGCCCCTGCGTGGTGCTGTTACCGTAGCTCTGCTGTGGTGCACGATTTACCACACTGGACCTTGCAACGCGGCGGTCGCCGCCTCCATTTGATCTCCCGGCGGGGCAGTCGAAACAGTGCCTCTGCCCGCCCAGCAGCATGCAGTGGGTTCACCGCAGTCGATCGGCAGGTCCACGCTTAGTGGGGTACGGCGTGGGTACTCCCCACCTCTTCCGAGATGTCTTGACAGCGTGGAAGAGTAGGCCAATTGCTCTTCGGAGGGACACTCGGGAACTCCCTCTCGCGGGAGCCTCTCTTACCAGCAGTGGTGTAAGCAAGCAACTGTAGGGCTGCACCTTTATCTTTTTTTATAAATGTGTGGTGATTTTTTTGTTCCATCAACGCCACTTTTTGAGGTCTGGATTACAGATACACATAGCCTAATTGTAAATGTTGTGGGTTCTACTCTCCGACACACAACCGGCGTGCTGAACCAGTAACGAATTGGCACGTTCTGTTTGTGACAAACCTTACTAATTGGCTGCGTCGGTCGGTGACGGGTTTAACGACACATTTATACTTACGCGATCTAACCCAAAAACCTCTATTATGGACATAGCCACAGCGAGACCATGACGAACAACTCATTTGCGTAGTTTCTAATGACGAACACTGCGTGTGTGCAAGCCGAAAAGACATTATTTGCCGGTAAAAAAAAAAAGCTGAGAATGAACACAAAGTTATAATAATTTGCCTGTGGACCTTTGCTGTCCATGGCCTTTTACATTTCAGAGCTTTTGGCAAAGTGACACAAATAATATAGATATTTTAAATGGCGTTTATTTGTAGCCCATAATTCGAAAGCTCGTACCTCGGGGTGCTACTGGCAGACTTGGAGGGTAATTCACATTTCAGTTCATTTATTAGGTATAGACCTGTGAGCCATTCAGCTCTTGACTCGGGTGCAACCGCAACAAACAACAACATGAATAAGAAACATCTTAAAGCTACAGAAAAATCCAGGAAAAAACAGCAAAGTCTTCCAGAAAAAGCACCGCATATCAACGCTGTGTGCAAAAATCCCAGTGGGATGCAAGTCAAACAATAACAACCATAAGACAATTTATATTAAAGTCATCAGTCTAACTCTGTACAACAAACAAATATGGCTAATCCAAAACGTTTTTGAAATCACCAAAATAAAGCTATAAAAACAACGTAACAGTGATCATAGGAACTGTGATTTAAATTTAACAATAAACGATATACATAACATGTACGACCAAACTTTGCAGCCATAGCTGGCAGCATGAGTCACTCCATAACAGCAGGAGAATCAGCAGGAGATCAGCACACTATAATCAAAAGTCAAGATGTGCAGCGGTCATCCGGAGCGATACATTTGATTTCAGGCCACTGAATAGCAGTAGCAGCTAGGGGTGTACAACTCCTCTAGAGCAGTTTAGAGTGAAGATCTCACGGGTAGTGATCCAAGTTGCAGTTTATTGGCGATAGCATTCCAGACCCTGGGGGCATCAATAGCAAAGGCCCTTCCTCCAGTATTTGTATGGCAATAAGGAATGTGAAGCTGGTAAATGAGCGAAGACCTGAGGTCACATTTGTTCTTCGAAACAGTGAGGAGATCCAGCAGGTAGTCTGCGTATGTTTTTGTAAGTACATCGTGAATAAATAAGATCTGATGCACAAGCCGGCGATCATCTTTCACCAAAGATCGTTTTGTAAGTGTAATGCCGGCAATGTCATCGTTGACGATTGATTTGACTTCATCCTCTCGATGTTTTCTTTTCTTTTTAAGTCTCCCTGAACTCCCCACACGGAAGCTCCTGGTCAGCGTGCCCAGCATCCTTCACTCCCAGAAGCCTCCGCTGCTGAGTGAGTGAGGCATCAAAAATTTCGCCCTTCGAGCCCCTGCTATGCTTTGTGTGTTTTCTGATGGCCGACTGTGTTTGTAAACGATCCGTCAATTCGGAAATTTAAATCGATCCCTGTGCTCGCAACGCATCCACTGTGTTAATTGTGTAAAAGTCTTGTTTACCAATGTTTTCCGCAAATTATACGCTCGTGGGAAACGTTAGACTGAACCAACTAGACTACATACCGCACAAACTACATACGAAGTAATACATTCGCAGTTGTATGTCAACTCATGGCTGGATGGAGGCCTCCCTATGCCGTGTAAGGCTGTTCATGCTTCACCACGCTGGTGTTAGTATGGGTTGCTGAAGAGAGGGGGCAGGTTTCGGACCGGTTCAGACATTGACACTCGCCCACCGGTGTCAACCGTGGCCAGGAATCGAACTCGAGTCGCCGGGATTTAGCGCAGTGCACCAACCACTGTGAACTGCACTCTGAAGAACCCAGCGATCACAGAGACAGAGAGAGATGGAGTGCTTACAAGACATACGTTATAAAGGAGTTGGGTATAAATAAGCCCCCGGGAGAAATAATTCGGGAATTGAATCGTGTGACCCAGAATCATGATTGTCCTGCGAGTTGCATGCTGTCTGGATCGTCACGTGCCTATGTGGACACACGTCAGATCGCTGAACTGATTGTCGTTTTCGGCGATGATGATGACGACGTCGACGATGATGAGGTGTCCGTCGGCGTCGTGGCACGAGACGGCAGACACTAACCCACTGGTACATGTCGGTTGTCAAATGTCACGCTCCGGCTCTCTGCTCGCGCGAGTCCAAAGTCAGCCGAATGCGCAGGATCCTGCCGGGGAAGAGTATTTGAGACTCAGGCCCTCCCTGGGTAAACCCGCTGCATCGTTGTTGTTGTTGTTTACCGAGCTGTGCATGCGCTTCTTAAATCACGCTGTCAGATTCAGTGAGACGTGCCACTTTAATAATCATCACGGTAGCAGCAGGCTTTCCTTAATAACACACTGTTACTGATATTTCCCCACCGGCATGAAAAAAAAAAATCGGCAAATTAGATTAATGGATACATCTTGCATAGGTAGCTAATTAGTATAAATAGCTTGTGTGGGTTTATATATTGAAAAAAAAAAGAAAAAAATACAAAAAGGAGCATTGCCAGTGTTGAGAGTGGTGCTGTAATGCGGTTCATTTTATTTGCTCTTCACTAAATAATAAGTCCAAGAGTGGGGTGGAGTGGTGGTGCAGTGGTTAGCGCAAGCGCACGATGAACCCAGCGACCCAAGTTCGATTCCCGGCCACTGCTAGTATGAGAAGCGAGTGATTACTGAACAGCTCCTGGTCTCTCCCACCCCGCCCCACCGCCCAACTTGAACAAATCTGCACTGACCAGTGTTGTGAAGTATGGCCAAACAACTCCCATTACTGCCATTTCATGGGGGGGGGGCCTTCATCCAGCAGTGGATTGACAAAGACCTGTAAATTATTCCCGCTTATTGTATTATTTTAGTGGAAGATTATCTTGCCGTGTGGACAAGTGGTAAGAGCATGTGGCTCGCAATCGGAAGATCGTGAGTTCAAATTCCGGTCAAAGGTCGGACTCAATCCATACAGTTACAGTTGATCATCGATTATCCGGCGTGCGATTATCCGGCTTCTAACATCATCTGGCAGTCCGGGCCATTCCGGCGAAACCGCTCCAAAGGCTGTAACCAGTCCGGCCATCATCACCATGTGCGTGACAAAGTAGCTCTGCTTGATTTCAGTGTTAAATATTATATACAGTACGTTATACACTACATACAACTTAAACAATGAAAATACTGCACGTGTATATACATCACCCCGTGCAGAGTCTTCAAGATTAGAGTGGTAAGTATGCTACAGTAACTACGGTAACTTTGTTTAAAGTAGGGGGTATATTTTTGTCTACATGTATGTTTATTTATGGCAATTTCATCGAGTAAACACATTTAAACACACAAAAAAAGATTACAGGTGGGGGGGGGGGGTACCATCGTTCGTACTCAATGCAGAAACAGGTCGGCGACGCCAGGGGCCGTTGACGCGACTTCAGACGCACGTTTCAGGCGCTTCTGACGCACGTGGTTCAGCGTTAGCGTGAGCGCGAGGTGGCACTTTCGCCTCGGACGTAACGCGTCGGACGATTGGCGCCGTAATTGAGATGGAAACAATTTGTTCACCGTTGCTCCGTAAGGGAGAAGTTCGCGTAAAACACGGCGGTGGCGTCGGACGTACACAGACAAGAACTGACTCCGTTGATCCACTCTGGAAGTGGTGACGTTTCATTCGTTTCTTGCCAATGTCAAAAGCAGTGACTTTGTCAATAAGCCAAGTTTCAAACAATTAGGAAATCTTCCTTATCTAGAAATAGAGCGTGGTATTAACGTTGTGATCTAAATAAAATTATCTCATGAATGTTATCATTATCCAGTCGCTCTAAATGGAGTCTGTAAATGAGTACCACATTGTTGGAAGTCAGTGGTGGTTGGTCTATGGTGAGGTGTTCGCCCCCAGCATAGGAATGTGGAATTACCACTGCTTGGCTCAAAGCTGCAGACGGAGATGAGAAAGAGAGACACTTTGAGATTGTCCAAAAGATGCAAAATAACATTTTAATGACTTTATTCTTAATGGTTTTCAACCACAGCTCAAACACATGGTCTTCATAATACGTTATCCTTGACACCCTCCATTGTGTTTTCACGTTCCCCTTGTTGCCCGACACGATGTCCGACGTTTTGCTGCACTTGCCGGGGGCATTTTCAGGAAACTGCTCCCGGCACGTGGGTCGAAACGTCGGACATTGGGCCGAACAACACGCGGCACAACCCCAAAACACAACGGAGGGCTGTTACAGCGGCACCACTACAAAGACCTACTCAGTCATCCTTAACGCTCTTGTCTCCAAGCAGTGTCCATTAGAGGTTTCAATGTTTTAACTTGGTAATGAAATAATAATTACGACAATAATTTTTAGGCCCTTTGAAGGATAAATTGCTTGTCGAGACTCATTACGTACATTGTGCTCGGGTTGCTTTGACAAATTCCTCATTTGAGTCGTTTCGGCGAGGCACATGCGGTTCGTATTACGCGCGCGTGGTTAATACGCGCGCTCATTTATTTATTAGGCCCTGCGTTTCTGTTTTATTTGTTTATTTCCCCCGCTTTGTAATTTTCTCTCTCGCAGACGTGTTGAGACCCTTCCTGGCGCCCTCTGCTCGGCGCCTCGAGCTGTTTGCGCGCAATCTCCACCCGGGATGCACCAGCTGGGGCAACCAAGTGCTCAAATATCAGCATCTGCGGCACTACACGCACGCTTCTCCCTCGCGCAAATAACGCCTGGGGCTGGGGGGTGGGGCGGAGGGGCGCGGGCGGTGGGGGGTGGGCGGCTTCGTGGGGGGGGGGTCATGGTGGGTTTTTGGGGGAGGATCGGCACTGGCTGGGTAAAAGGGGGGGGGGGGGGGGGCGAGGAGTTTACCGGTGGCTGCAATGAGCGGGGGCGAAAAGTGATCGGCGTGGACGCGGGGGCAAGGAGGCGTCGCAGCAAGAGAAACAGCCGACGAGGGACGGGAGGCGAAATTAACTCGGGTGAGCGAGAGAAGGGAAGAGAAGCTGATGGGGAGACGTGCGAGAGAGACGGCAGCAGCAGCAGCAGCAGCAGAGAGGCGATACCGCAGAGTTCGGAGGACACGGCCGTGCAGGAGCGGCTGCGGGGAATTAAATCAACGGCAGAGAATGGCGGGGGGGGGGGGGGGCCTTTACTCAGGAATGGGAAGTTGCAGGCCGACAGCAACAACAACAGCATAAGCTGGTTTGGATGTGGGGGGTGGAGTTCGCAAGACCCTGCTTACGACCGTCGCGGCCGTGATTCTCGCTTAATCCGCCCCCTCTCCTCCTCCCCCCGTCCTGCCGTGGCAGCCCGCCCGCGGCCCGGCCTGGTGGTGCGTCCTGCGCCGTCGCGAGGCTCGGGGAAGGGATGCACCAAAGAGCGCTTCACAATTAAGTCTCCGCTTCAGTCGGGGCGCTGCAGCTGGCGCGGTAATTGTGCCAATTTTACGGACGATGATTCCTTGTTTTCCACAAGTGTTGGTTGGGGTTTTCCTTTTTTAATTGTGCGCGAGCGGTTGGGCGCTTTGGCTCACACTTGCGCCTTTGGTCCGTGTGGGAGATTTATTTATTTCCCCACTAAGACCCCAGAAAAGTTTCATTCATTGAATTATTAAACGCAAACATAAATCTGTAATAGCAGCTTCCGACGCAGGGAACGGTGGGGGCTCAGCATCGTTGTTTGGCATTTGGCTGCACTTGAACGGGGCAAGCCTCGGTGTTTTAGACCCCAAACCCGAATTAAAATTAACTGATTTTAAACCAAAACAAAGCATAAACCCTACTCTTCTCTTTCACGAATGGCCTGTCGATTCACCTTTCTCTCCTGAATTGCTGCTCGAAGATTAAGAACTCTTCGACGCAATCCCTCACGGGGGGAAAGTCTTCCATCATTTGCCGTGAGTGAGTCTGGCCCGTATTAAACAGAGAGCGCTATTACTCCTGCCGGGGGTAACACCACCCCCCGTTTCCTTCCATCAGAAGCCCACACAACAGCCCCCCTGCCACCCCCCTCCCGTCATACCTCCTTTTCCCCGTTTTCCTTTCGCCTTCCCCACTGCCTCAAGCCGTGCTGCTACCCATCCGCCTGATTTAGAAAATGAAAACATCGAAGTGGAAGAAGAAGAGGTTTATGTCTCCATATATGCACATAATTATTTTTATTTATTTATTTATTCCATCATCTTCATTGGCTTCCCAGACCAGTGTCATCCAACAACGACTTGAATTTGTAATGTACTTAACGTAATGAACATCTATGCACCATTGTAATCAAGAAAACCGGACCGGTTTAATCAGCAGAGTTCAGGCGTGTTAAATGTAGCGGGACTGCCAGATTTTGTTTTATGTTAAGTCTTGTGCCCTGTTCATGGCTCGGCAATAACACCAGCCAAGGCGTGGCCACTCGGGGGCGGTGGTTATCAAACGTTTCACTATGAAAGGCCCTCAATCAAGATGTGTGTACCTATGTTGAACTTCTTTCGCACCGTACGTAGCCAACCGTGTTAATAGGAGGTGCGGGGGAAAATAAGATCGCTAGTTTCCACACCCTCCCAACCTGGGTTACTAAGGCCACAATACACAGATATCGCTTGACTACACCTCGTAAGTCAATGTGCTGTTAGTGAGGCATTGCTTCAGGCTTCGTATATCCGTATGTTCCGTGTTCTTCTTTCGTATGGAATTTGATGTCGAGATTTGATATCCCCATTCGACTGCTGCAGAAGTAGCTACGTGGTCTTGTTTCAGATGGCCGTTGAGTGATCCAATTGGGCAGTCCGTTCACGATGTATCGCACGGGTCTGAGATGTCCGCACCACAGTCGCAAACTGGACATCTTCCGTGGAGTGTGTCCGGATCCGATTCAAGGAGAACCAGATCATCCTCGGTAGGGCAGATCCTGGTTGGATGATTGTGGGGTCGCTGGTGGTGGATTTCTTCAGTAGTTTTGTGTTTGCTCCCAGGGCTTCCCTCCCATCGTGCTGCGGGTGGTCTTCTCGTCGCCATGGAGTTTATTTGCATATTGCCAGAAAGGCTTTATGCAATTTAGCAATCTGTGCCGGTGGTGGCATGGAGATGTCCTTGTTTATTGTGAGGTTTCGATTTCTGACGGATTTGTCAGTACTCCCTCCCACGTGGTGCTTGGAGGTTTGTATACATCACAGATACATCCTCGATTTTGGTGATGATGCCTGTCCGCGAGTTGTGTTCTGCGTTCGTTGGGGTCCTTGAGATGGGATCTCACGCGACGTTGCTTGTCCGTGCTTGGGGCAGTGCTGGCTGGCAGTGAGCAGAATTCCAGGGACTTTCGTTTTTGAGACTCTTTGGCCGTCGGCTGTACGGAGGTTTCTGGAGTCAGGAGCACGACGACCGTGTGGAGTCCGAGGAAACGTCCCAGGGAGTCGCACTTGGCCCTTGATAGGCCCCTCTACATTTAGATGGCGCAAACGTAGTGACGGCCCCACACTGCGGTAAGTTTGTCCCTGAAAAGTACATTTGGTGTTGCAATCCTGATCGGGAGGCCCTTTTCGGGCGTTCGATCGCCAGATTGATGACAATTTGTGGCAAGCGCGTAACGGTGGAGACCAGGGGAAGGTTTGTCATCTTCACCGAGTTAGTACGGCATGCTTCAGGCTGTGTATCGGTGTGTTCCGAGTTAGGCCTTGCTTCAGGTGGTGTATCAAGCGTTTCGTCACAGTGTAGCGCCGGCATATCCCCCACACTTTCGAAATTTCTCCTGCACGGTGTCCACGTTGCAGCCTACACCTGCCTCCTCCCCCTGAAAGCCTCTGGGAGTGTGGGTGGGGAGCGGTGGTGTAGCGGTTAGCGCGCTGCGCTATGAACCCGGCCACCCAAGTTCGATTCTCACTCATGACCAACACCAGTGACGATTATTTGAATCGGTCCTGGGCCTCCCCTAGGTCGACTCCGCCTCAAATGAGTACCTAGTGCGGTGAGTAGTAAACATCGCTACTCGGGAGACAAAGGCGGTCGGGCTTGGTGCTGGCCACCCACCCCTTCGTGTGCCGTGTCAGCCTTCATAGGTGCTCGCTAACAGCACTTGCCCCAACAGCCTGTTAAGGCTACACGGGGGGATCTTTGCCTTTGGTTCGGAGGATGCGACCCACGGCTTGAGTACAGCTTGGCCAGGGTAACGGCGAGTGAGGTGGTGGGGGGGGGCAGCCTCTCGGACGCCAGCAGGTGGAGTCGTCCATCCTCTGGACTCTTGCCCACCCTGGGGGGGAGGGGGGGGGGGTCAGGGTGTCGCGGTGATGGTGGGGGGGGGGTCCATTGGGGACCCTGCCCATCCCCTGGCCCCCCCACACACCCACCTCCCACCCTCGTCACGCCACCGCCACGCCCGCGTGATATTTCGCAGCGACCGTGCAGCCATTGCCTCCCCAGCTCCCCGAGGGAGTTTCCGCAGCAATGGCCAAAAGCCTTTTTATTATAATTCGAAGCCATCGGCCGGCTTGACCCTGGTCTCAACGGCTGTGGCTGAAACCTCGGCCGCTATCTCCCCGGCAGACGATTAAAAAAAAACCGCCGTGGCAGTCATTCGGAGCGAGCGTTTTGCGCCCAATTTGGGAAATCGAAATGAGGCCAGCCCGATGTTTGTTTCATGAGGCGGCGGTGATGGTGTTATTTAGCCGCTTTATTGGACCAGATGGATGACGGTGCTGTTCCGCACCCACGAACAGCGACACAAAAAAAACAATCCGTTGCAGCATTAACGAAAAACGTCCATCCGTGTTACCCCAACTGCACGCCACTGTACTGTATTCCGCAAGTCCAATGCAGTAGATGTGTGTGTGTGTCGTTAGGTGCAGGCGTGCGTGCAAGAGTGTTATGTATCGAATGGTGAAAACTGGCTTGTGTCCCGCTTTACGTGTCCACGGTACGAGTGCGCGTGTCTCTTCTAGGGCTGCACTGCACGTGGAGGCGGGGGGTGTGGACTCGGGCTGAACGATTTGGGGAAAATATCTAATTGCCATTTTTTTGGCATTGCGATTTGATTTGCGATGAAATGTTTTAAGTCAAGCTTCAGTTCGATATTCACTGTGTAGTAGATTTAAAACACGTGATGGAGCATTACCACATGATACCATCAAAATATGAACTGCTCTTTATATTCTAATGCAAGGATGAGCACTTAAAAGATATGAATTGCTTCCGACATGTATTTATTAAAATGTTTTAATTGAAATAGAACAATGAAACGTAGAACAATTGTTAAGTTAAATAAATAAAGTTGTAATAATCATAAAAAAATAAAAAATCCCAAAAAGAAAGGAATCGGACATTTCAAATCGCTAAAAAATCGCAGCCTTTGCGATTTGCTAATCGCATTGTTTCAAATTGCGATTTTAAATCGATTAATCGTTCAGCCCGAGTGTGTACGTGGAATGCGTGGTACAAATGCACCAGCTGCTCGCCCCGCGCTCTCAATGCCCTGAGAGTGGCATTGTCTTTGTGCTGTTCGCCTTTTAGCGTCCTCTGGTCTAACACCGTTTGACACGAGGCTCAAAAGAAAGCTGTCTCTGGTGTGGACCAATCAGTTTCAACGACAATGCATCATCATATACTACCAGAGCATGTTTTTTGTTTGCATGGTCACGACAAGTACGTGTGGTTAATGCAGACATGATTCCTTGCAAAAGGTTTCAGTGTGGTGTTTTAACATCTTAACACATGTTTTATTGCCAGAAAGGTTAACCTATTAATATTTTTGGTTTGT